TTCCTTCCTTCCTTCCTTCCTTCCTTCCTTCCTTCCTTCCTTCCTTCCTTCCTTCCCTCCTTCCTTCCTTCCCTCCTCTCACAAATGCATGTTTAGCATCTCCTACATACCCCATGCTATGCCAGCTGCCTGCTGATAGTCAGTGGTAAAAGCAAAAACCAGAATCAGTCCTATTACCTTATTGATAATGACCTAATTGGGTAAATGTCTATCATAAATTCTGGTTCTGAGAGGTAGCTAGTAAATGGCACCCTAAGTTTTATATATTCTGTCCACAAAACAAAAACAAATAACAACAATAAGTTGTTTTCTTTTGTTGTTACTCAAAACCCAGATTTCTACTGTAGCCCCTAGTGCATTGCTACCTGTGTTTGGATGGACTGAAAAGTGTTTCAGTTTCTCTCCTATGTAGAATATTCAGAGGGAAAGTGCAGGGCAGTACCCAATGCATACAAACACTGACTTGATCACTTTTCCTCAAGCCAAACTATACTCCAGGCCTCCTCTCTCTCTAGTTATCATAGTTGAGCCCGCTCAGCCCCACTTGCAGCCTCAGTCCCACGCCAGGCTCACCGGCCAAATTTGTCCCTGGAATTAGGAATTGAAAGATAAGCCAGCTACAGTAGAGACAAGATTTGGAAATAGGCAAAACTGACTTGGACTCACATGTCTGTCATGTTACCTCTGTGGTGTCAGCCAAGTTACTTAACCTCTCTGAGCCTCAGATTTCTCATCTATAAAGTGGTGATAATGTCTGCTCATGAGTTGGAAGATTAAATAAGATTATGTAATCCCAGCACTTTGGAGGCCGAGACGGGTGGATTGCCTGAGGTCAGAAGTTCAAGACCAGTCCGACCAACATGGTGAAACCCCATCTCTATTTATTAAAAAAAAAAAAATTTTAAATAAGATTATGTAAATCTTATCTGACACCAAATGACTTTCCCGTGAAAGTTCAAAACTTCCTTCGTGCTTTAATTCTCCAAGGAAGGGGACCTGACCTTTTTCATTTCTATATTTACTTATATTCTAGGCATGTATTTGTTAAGATACAGGTTTTGCATTAAGAGGGACCTCAATTTTAACCTCAGATCTGCTACTCATTGGCTGTATGATCATAGGGTCAAGTTCCTTCAACTTAGTAAGCCTTCATTTCCTCAGTGGTGATACCGAAGAAAAATAATACAAAGCACACAGATAAATTATTGTAAGGATAATATATATTATACCGTAAAATTCTGTGCAGAGTCTTCAGAATGCTTTCATGTAAGTTAGCCTCTTCAATCCTCTCAAAAACTTTTTGCAATAGCTCTCTCTCTCAAATGAGAACCAAATGTGTAAGACATTAAAACTCAGCAAGATCAATAAACACCACAGAATAAACACCAAATAAGTGGTTGATATCATCATAGTAAAATGAATTAGAAAAGTTACCCTGACATTATGGTGATGTTTTGTTCACAAGCTCATTCAGTGCACAGGAAGTGTCCAAGTAAGGAAGGGGTCTGAGGATGACAGGTCAGGAATAAGTACTAAGGAATAGGAAAATTTATGACTGTTAGATCCAACAAATGGATAACCAGATTTAGCAACATATTGAACAGTCATGGAAAAAATCCACAGCACCAAAATTCAACATATGAGATTTTTATTTAGGGATTCATGGTATTGGGGGTCTTTTTTCTTTCTCCCAAGAAGGTGATTTTGTTTCTCAGCCTAGAAGTTTCATCACTGCTTTTGCTTATTTGTAAGCATAATTCTAAAAAGTTGGAAGAAGCCATTTCTGTCCTTATTTGGTGCATGGTCAACAATAAGGGTAGCATGAATTGGAGTCAGTGTTGCAAATGCTTTCCCAACTAAACAACCTGTCTCTAGGATCCCATAATTTTTCAAAAAGTAAACAGAAATATTTCTATATTTAGGAGAAGCTTAGGGGTTTGAACAATCAAGAAATTCTATCAGCTAGTTTTAGTAAAATTTCTTGCCACCTAATTTTTTTAGATCTTCTAAACAAAGTTCATAGAGGATTTTAATGCTTCAAATAAAACATTAAAATTTCTTCATATGGTTAACCTTCAAATGTAACAGCTAATATTTTATTCTTATGTACATGGGATATAAAGATTTCTAATAGAGAAAGGTATTATCTATCAAAACTGAAGACTGATACTCTTTTTGAAAGTGATAAAATGGTATGCCTACTTACCATGCTCATGAAATAACCAATTGGCAATTTTTAAAACTTGAAAATGTTTCTAACAGTGTAAAAATAGTTTTCCTACCTCCCCCAAAAGCTTATAAACATCAGCAGTATGTGCCTAAAATTTCGTGCAGTTTTCAGAGTGTTTTTATATAAATTACCTTATTCAGCCCTCTCAAAAACTCTTTGCAATGGCTCTCAAATGAGAACCAAATGGATAAGACACTGAAACTCAGCAAGATCAGGCAACGATCTTTAAGGTCACATGGCAAGTTCATGGCATAACTGTGACTCTAATCTCTAATCGCCTATACCAGTGCTGCCCTGAAAATTTGCCCAATGATGTTTCATTAAAAAAAAATTTTTTTTTAACTATTTGGAGGACAGGCCAGTAACTCCTTCAGTCATAACAGAGACAGTGATTTTTCTGGTTTTGTTGTTTTCTTATTTATTTATTGCAACAACCTTGGCTTTGTCAGAGGGAGCACCTAAAAAAAAAGAAAATAAACAAGCCCTACCTAAATTACCCGTTGTGAATTTTCTGCCCCTATTTAGGCATATAGAAGAATATAATGTCAGTGATGCATCTTATTTTTAAGATGCCGTGAAAATATTGGTTTGTCCATTTATTAAACAAACATAATTGTGGCTTCTATGTCTCTACACTGTTTGCTGAGCACTGAGGACCCAGAGGGAAAGCAGATGTGATCCATGTCCTCATAATGTTTAGGTCTCTCAGGGAAGCCAGACACTGAATAAGTCATTCCTAATGTGATGACGCTGACAAAGAGGAACTGCAGAGTGCGATGGAGACATCGCCTGATCTGGGGAGGCAGGGAAGACTTCCGGAGGAAGTGGCTTTCAAGATGAAATCCTATATCTACCACTCTTTCACTCACCAGTCATAGCTAAGTAGGATTTTTATTTAAGACTGTATTCAGGAGTAGAATAGAAAGAATTTTTATGACTTTTAAAATCTTCATATACAGAAAATTGAACAATTAGACAATTAGTGGCACCAGAAGACTTTTACACACTTGCTCAAAAATTGTGTTAAATTATTTCAAGTGATTAGTCTACATTAATTTCAAGATTTTTAAAGAATTTGAGCCTAGAAATATTTTTAATAGTTAGAAAAATCTCTTAGGACCTTGTCAATTATTTAGTAGATACTTAATAAACATAAAATTTATTTTCTTTTCCTTTCATTTCTTTCTCTATGATTTCTTCCCTTCAACCCCATTTATCCAAGTATTCAGAAGGATCTTTGTTAGCTTAGTGAATAGAAGAGCTTGACTTAATTGTTTTCCAAATCACTAAAACATTCCTAAAAGTGATGTAGATGGAAACCTAAGTGTCTAGTAAAACATTTTGATTCACAATCCATTGTTTTATTGATTTTTTATCATTATATTTAAGCATGCCTCCTGTTGATTATTTTAGTCTATATCCTGATTTTAGCTCTTTAATTAGGTGTCCTGGGTCATATATGAGTAATGGATGCAGAAGCTTAAAATACAGAGCATGCTTTCCCAGTGTACTTAAGACTATGGGGTAACTTCAATTCTCTTAATGTTTTACTGTTTCCAAGTCTTAAAATAATTATCTCCCACTTCAGAACATGGAACAAGTGACCTTTAAATCAAGTAGACTCATATAAGGTTTAGAATTAATATTTGAAAGCAATTCAAAGAAGATTCTAGTATTATTTTGTGACACTTCCATTCGAAGAAATAATTTATAATTATGATAAGTAATGTAACAAAAGTCATTTCTTACATTTACTTATGCTGAATGGACATTAGTTTTAAGGAGTATACACATCCCATTGTCAAACAGCCTTTTGTCACAGTCTTTTGCAATGTATCACTCTGAAGATAGAATTATTACAAGGACACCCTCATCAGAAGTAGATGGTAAATAACTGTTATTTGCTTCCACGTTAACTTCTGCTGGCTTTGAGTCTGTGACCAGAGACTATTTCAAAATACAGCACTATCCTGAAACCCACTATCTGCCTACTCTGGTTTCCTGAAGCAATGTCTTTCAAACTAACGCAACCCCGCCAATGTAACAGTTTATTTCTCTGAAGTTTAACTCAACCCTGTCTCCTCCGTATGCCTGTTAACTAGAGACTTGATGTGTAAGTAATTGAATGCCCATGTGGATTGTGTTTAGATTATCCCACTTTCAAATTTGGGAGTTTCATTTTTATTCATAGTAGCTGTCTCCTATAAAGGAAATTTCTGTGTCAGATATCCAAACTCAATTTGCCATTCGTAACATCTGGAATCTTGGAACCCAAATCCCAGAAATATTCAAGAGGCAAAAAAGATGCCTTATTTAGAGTTCTGCAGAACAGAAGAGCTGTTATTGGCAGGAGATGGGCATTTTGCTGATATTTTAGGAGAGTTATAACTTAGGTGGATAACAATTGGATGGAAGCAATGTTTAGATTTTAGAATCTGGTTTTCCCTGGGACATATAAAATTAGTTTGCACAACTTGTAAATATAATTATTTGTTTCAGGGATGGAACATCTCTCCTTGCTAGTCAATCATGATTTTACTAAAATTCATCTGGAAAAATAAACAATAAATGACAGTAATTAGAATGTTCAAAAGATGTCTTCTTTTTCCTTTTCTACTCTGATTCTCATGAAGTAAAAATTATAAACAGCTTGTTGTAATATAAATGATAGTAAAGATCTATCCTAGAAAAACATTATATTCAATTTCTTATTTTTTCCAGATGTCTAAATTCTCATGTTTATGAAATATTAGCCAGTTCTTCAAAAAAAAAAGATATTTATATTTGAAATTAAGGCTTAATTTTGCTCATGATTAATCTCAGAAATAAGTAGCTTATTTCTGTGACCTTGCTGAGGTCTGGTAACCTACGAGGGATTATGTGTAACTGTGAGGAAGAAATGAAAAGGAGGCGGTGAGTAATTATTTAAGAAAAAATAGCATTAAAATTGGCAGACACTTCTTGTGTCTGTAACTGTTTTCACACTAGGAAAACGAACCAGAGTTTCAATTTTCCTGTTCATAATTTCACATTTATAGTTCCATTGTTTTTATCTTGTTTAACTGTTCTGGATGTCTGCTTTTACAAAGCAGGGGGGAAAAGAAGGAAAAATGTTTTTGACGATAATGAAAAATACAAGATTTGTTCTCCTTCCTTGTACATTTTTAGAGGAAGTTGTACATTCCCTAGCAGATTCATTCTAGATTATTCGTATATCTTTATAGCTTATCATTTAGATATCCATTAATAGAACATTCTTTTAAAAATATAAATTGGTAAGCAAAGGCAGTTAATTATTTGTGAAGATGTGTACTGCAGGCTTTATCCTGAATAGAAAGATAGGGTTTATCTTGCTATCAGTAAAATTGGGTTAATAATGAAAATATTTTTCTGCTTCCAAAGTTGTATACATAGACTGAAGCTTTTATTAGAAATCAGTGATGCTGTTTCACCTATAAAATTTTAAACACCACCAGACAAAATGAGAGCTTTGTGTTGCCTGGAGGGTGAAAGAAGTCTCTTTTCCAGCAACATCCCTTCTGCTTTCCTGCTTGGCTATGTGGCCTCCCTCCCCCTCCCTTTCACACCAAGCCACCCCACCCCACCAGCTGTTAGGGACTCCTCCCATCTTTATGCAGATCACTCATTCTCTTAGATGGTCTTTCTTTAGTCTCATATGAAGACAGTGTACTAAGCACCAAGTTGTTCAGCTCAGTGCTAACTTTGCCAGGAATGTGTGCATTTCCTAAGAGCTGCCCAAAATGGAAATTAAACAGTATGAAAGAATGAAATGGCAATAGTGCCATTTTGTACACCAGAAGAGCAGATTGGCATCGGTATAAGCACCTTTTCAGTCCTTTGAGAACACCAGGAAAGTGGCCATCTGTTTTGCCCACGTGAAATTTGGATCTCTATACAAAGGCAAAAAGACAGTTTGTGAAGCATTACAATATTGCAAGATGATTCAGAGAGAATGTGTTTTGTTTATTTTTGAACTCTCTGCTCCTCCAAGGTTGCTGCTATTAGGGGCAGTTCTCACTCACCCACTCTCTTTGAGCTCATGTGTCTGATAAGAAAGAGGTGAAACTGTAAAAACGTTTTCTATTACTCATCTGCAAAGCTGATAGGAAACCTGTAGCATTGTTAAGAACCCCTGGTGTGCTGGATGCTGTTGTGAAAATAAGCATAATGTTTAATGTCTTGAGCTTTTACTGAAATTATATAAATATTCAAGACTCTCTTGGTGTACAAGAGACAGATTGAGCTTTAGAGGTCTCAAAATTTACAGATATGGTGATGTTCACCAAGCTCAACTGTTGGTCAGTTTTGTCCAGTTCAGAGAGGGTTAAATTCACTCTTGGGCCCTCCAAGCTTCTCTAATCTTATCCTGGAGAAGTAGAGCTCTGCCTTGGTTTACAGTTGAGGTCACCGGCGGGGCAGTGTTTCGACAGGGACTGATGAAATTATGCTGCATTGTTAACATTGAATACCACTCAGTGGTGAGGACCGATGACGGCACTAGGGCCCTTTGACTTCTTGGGTACAATATCTTGAAATAGATGCTTTCTCAAAATGTCCTGGACTCATAAAACATGTGAAGGCTTCTATTTGGCTTTCATCATTTATTTAATTTGAAAGAAAGTTGTTTTAAGGGATTTATCAGAGTTAAGAAATGTTTCTAGGGAATAGAAAATGGACAAGATAATTGATCTTTGTTGTCAAAGTCATGCATTGTAATTCACTCTCTAAGGTGACGCAGCATCTCCTTGAGGGAAAAGCTGCCAAAAGCTCTGAAAGTGATCTGCCTGTTTTTTTCTCACACTGGCTTGCAGAGAGGCACTGGTATTTTCAAGATGACTAAATCCTGTTTACCTCCTGTGGAAGGCTTGCTAAGAATTATATCCATCTCTGTTTTTAAGAGAAGTTGAAATAAGGAAAATTATAGTTGCCAGTTAGCTGTGTGAAATTTAGTAGTATTTGTCAGATGCCCCAGTCATAGGCAAGTATTTACTTTTTAAAAGTTTGTAACAAAGCCCTCACATTTACCATTTTTAAAGTTCACACTGATATAAAGGTTCAATCACACTTTTCATTGTGTGTGTGCACGCACGTGTGTGTGTGTGTATGTGTGTGTGTTGTGCTTTTCAGGAGTGGCATGTGACTATGCTGTTTAATCAGGGCTATATTTAAAAACAAATTTTCGAGGGAGTGTTTCTCACGTTAATTATGAGATAAGGCCTGAGTGAAGCAAGCTCTGTCGCAAAGGCCAAGTGTCACGCAGCAGGAAGTCCTGGCCATCCCTTCCAGCCCTGCCTCAGCCAGCCTGCCACCTCTCTGTCAGCGCATACCAGCATACCACCGCACAAAGGAAATGCCCTCACTCAGCTACAAGTGCCTCCTGCTCTGTGCGAGGCCTCAGGGCCCCAGGGTCCGGCACCAGCTCTGACTTACCGTGGTTCCTGTGGATCTTGGCATCATCCTTACAAATGGCTTTTGTTTGGGATCCTCTGGGAGCCACAGTGCCAGGACCATCTCCAAGGGCCAAATCAAGATTGCGTTTCTCAAAGTCCTACAGGTATTGCTCTTTTCCTTTTGTAGCTGGAAAGAATTGTTTAACTGCCTTAGGCCCCTTGCAAATAAGCTTTTGCCATATGTCGACCTTCTAACTCCTAATGCTGGTTAAGTTAACAATGTATAAAATAAGAGCCAAGACGATGGTGTAAATCTTGAAATAGGAATATGTAGGTACCTCCAGAAGTAGAAGGAAGTTGACTGACTTTAAAAGCTAATTACAAGAGTTAAATGGCAAACTTAACAAAGCATTCATATTACTGCCACCTAGAAAACAGTGTATTAACTTGTCTAGTGGCTTAATACAGCCAACTCTAAATGTTAGGGATGGGTTCTTGTTTGACTAACCAACAACAAAAACACTACATTGTTGTTCACAAGCGTTTCAGGGGACATTCACATGAAAAAAATGGAAACTAATGCTATGTCCCAGGTAGTAATTCAGTTTTAATCTTGTCCAGCAGAATCAGATGCCATGAATTCAAACTAAATATTTTAATAATCTTTTACTTCTGAAAATCATATTAAGAATCTTAACCTCATGACCTAACTAAACTGTCAATGACTGTTTTGCAATAAAAATAGCTTGTTTTAACCAAATAACGGGAAAAAGACACTTAAAAAAAAAGTCTTGGATTTCCTTTTTCAAGTATTCCAGGTGTTTATAAAGAAAAGATTGATTATTCTTTATTATTATTGTTTATACAGAAGAGCTTTTTTGTTTCTGATTAATTACAGTCGATAGCACTGAAAGCTATTTATTTAATCAATAGTAAATAGAAGTGAAATTGTTTGTAAAATTTTGGATATAAAGTCTTATTTAGACCAAATGTAACACATCTGGAAGCTGCCAGTCCTATGTAGAAATATGCATTAACTCTGGATTAAAATGTGTTCTGATTTGCCTGCATATAAAACATTCAAAGTTTGAATTAAAATAATTCATGAGAATTATTTATTTGCTTTAGACAGTAAAGAAGATAATATCTTTGGAATTTTTTAGGGGACTATAAGATCAGAGAAATAAAATTGTAAAATTTGTCATAACAATGCAGAAGTAAACTTTGGCAATAGATAAATATAATTTGTCAGCTAAAGGTGTAGGTAGTAACTCCATTTATTTTTATTTCAAAATAAAATAACGATTTATTTGTTATTACGTTAGTTTCTTACAGCTGTGAAATTTGGTTGAACATTAGAAATTATATGCCTACTACGTGCTTTGCATTCTGTCTAATGTGATTCTCATGCTTATTATGTGCTAAATTGTACATTCAGAACTTAACATCAAAGATTTGTTAACATTACTGTGCATATTTCCAATATATGGTGGCTTCTAGGCTCTCTTCATCACTGCGATCTGATAGCAAGCTCCTTAATATCATAAATCTCCAACTGCTGGATCAAGTAAAAGCAATAGCTTGATGGACTAAAGAATTTGAGAAATCTCAAGAAATGCAGAGTTTAAGCTCTACTGTGCAATTTACAAATAGGTTACAAACCTGGCCTCAGTTTGGCAAAGATATTTTTATTTGAGGTGTTATATGATATATATATATAGCTATATGATAAATATATTTTTTTCAAGGTTCCTTTGGTCAAGTCCTGGCCCTTTCCAAAACACAAGCATTAGCAGCTAAGGATGACTTTTTCATGTATTTAAATCCCTCACATCTGTAATTTTAACAAGTTTCATTTGTAACAAGTTTAAGTGGTGAGGATGGCATCTCAAATATCCATCATGAGGCACTTTCCTTTGGAAGTTTGAGAGGCTTAGTTCCTCCTTTATTTCCTCTCAATTTGAATATGCAGTTTCCAACATACTGATTAATTTATTTATATATGCTGTTTTCACCGTTTGGAGGTTCTAGTTTATCTTTCCAGTTGGATCGCAAACTCTTTGAGGTTAGAAGCTTCCTTATATACAGCAAGAAAGCCAATAATGCCTATTTGATAAAGTATCCCATTAACTTCTCTTATTTGGCATCACTCCATAATGCTTTATTAGCATAAACAACTTGATATGATCATATCTATCATAAATTGAATTGAGTGGAAGGGTTAGGGAGATAGGAAGGCAGATGGCCACTGGCTCTCACATTTCTGGAGGTCCCTCACCCATTCAAGGAGATTATGCATTCAGCCACAGTAATATACTGACAATAATGAAAAAAAGGTATTTATCATATTACTTAAAATTTTTATTATTCCATAATACCTCAAATGCACCATGAGTCACTAAATATATATATATATATATACACACACATATATATACACATATGTATACACACACACACATATGTACACACACACATACCACATGTACACACCACATATACATACCATACACAGGCACATTCACACACAGTTAAATGCTATAATTATCTTCTGAAGAACATAGTTTTATTGCATAGTATTCTTAAAATTAAAGGTGTTAAACTATTTGATGTAAACATGTAAAATATCTCATAATGTTACAGCCTTGTTTTTGCATTTCTTAATTTTAAAAAATATATACAAGATCCTTAAACCCTGAAAATAACTTAAGCTTATCTTGACCTTTAAGAGGCTTTGGATATGATCCCATTATTGAAGCAACTGAAAGAACTGGACATTAAACAACATTTCTTCATTGAATTTCTCTCACATGAGATTTTTATGAGCAATATTTTATATATTGTAAAACCTTCAAATGTGCCTATTTTAATGTCATTTTTCTTTGACTATCAAATGGATAATAATGCATGATACTGGGGGTGCACTTAGCTTTATGCTGAAATATTTTTCTTTGATGTGGCTTTTACTCACAGGTAACATTCAGGCTAAAGGAAAGCCAAGTCTATAAGATATGAAATTCAATTCGTGTCTGATTTGTTAAAATAATAGCAAATCATACACATTTGATGAGTGTTGACTCCCAAGAAGTACAATCTTAAACAGGTTTACAATGCTCAAAATAGATTTAAAAGTTTTTCAGCTGTGGGTAAAATACATTTTACTAAAAAACCAAAAATGATTAATGTATAGCTTATTAAACTAAGTTTGATTTGAGACAGAAAGAGAGATTGAAAAAGAAATGAAAAGGGAGAGAGAAGGAAAGGGAGGAGAGAGGAGTGGAGCAGGGCCCTGGAAAGAGGAGGGAGGAAGAAAAAGAGAAAAAGAGAGAAAGCAGAGCATTACACAATAAGGAAGCGACTTTTTCGCTGTGAATCCAGAAGAGAGTGCCAGCCATGTTTTCAGTAATCGGATCGGTGTCAGCATTAGGGCACCACTTACAAAGCTGAGTACTATTTTTGAGGGTGAGGTGCTGATTTGTCTGTCTAGGTTCCGGCACACGTGTTTAAAGATTTACCTCATTATTTTAGAGCAATGCCCCTCCCGTGTATTATAGAGAAGAAAGAGAATAATGTGCTCATGTTAAATTTGAGAAAATAATGTGGATAAGTTTATGTTTGTTGTTTAAATATGGTACCTAGAAAATACTGTGGAAAAATGATCTGGGAAGTAAAGAAAGAATCAAGGAGCAAAGGTTTACCCAGCCTGTGGACCCTGACAACTCCAATAAGAGAACACTAGGAAATTTTGTACTTTTGAAAATATTATTGTTTAAAACTACAGTAGTGTTCAAGGAAACTTTAAATAGAAAATTACTCTTCTTGAGATGGTTCTGTCTTCCAAAGAGAACAAATCACAAACCCTTTCTGCTTTGTGTCTTAAAAAGGGATGTTAAAAGGAACATTTTACACAATGAGTATGGGGTAGGTACTATGCAAATAGAAGAGAAATTCACTCAGGGTACATTAGAATGTAGGGCAGAGATTATTCCATAGCGTTCCACAGGCAAGAAACAAAGTGTCTTCTAGTTTTCTTGCCCTTTATACTAATAGGGGTCATGGGATAGAAATTCTCAGAAAATATCCAGAACTCATATTTGCCAATTGTTTCAACATCTTTTCCTTCCCAGAATTTTAGCAGAATTGCCAAACAGGTGATTAATTAAATACATATGCACATGCTTGTACCTCATATAGAAGGGCTAATGAGTAAATCTGTTTTATGTGACATGCACTGAACAGTAGAAGGAAGGAGGAATAACAATCAGATCAATAAACAAAAGTGCAGATGGTATCTGGGCTATGAAAAAATAAAGCAATATTTGGCCAAATAAGAAGATCTGGATATTCCTAAAGTGTCCCCTGTATTCTTAGGAAGTAAAGATCAAATCTGTAACTTTGATCTGGAAATTGCATAGTAGCAGATATGAACAGGGATCATAGGAGAGTGTGGTCTCATCGCTACTCTTTGCTACTACCAAAACCTAACTGGTAGCATCAGTGATCGTCCAATCACACTGCAGAATTCCCATTAGAAAATGCTGTCTTGAACCCACATCTTAGAAAGGGAGTGAGTACCACCAGTGAATCAGTACACTGGGATGTAACTTTCTGTGTACCCCAAGACTACTTCCTGTTATATAGCAATTTTTCGTTTTCAAAGCTTTTCTGATGTAACAGATGTGACAACTGTTGTTTTTAGTGTGCCACAGCTCATCTCACTTAATTCTTTAGCGTAAGTGAAAAGGATAGGTATAATTAGTATCAAATAAGAGAAGAAGAATTGAAGGTTCGGGGACTAGAGACCACACACACACACATGGTTAGAAAGTCCAAAGTAAGCACAATAGAGCTAATTTGTATTGGATGCTTACTGTGCACCAGGAAGTGTTCCCAGTGCCATACATGCATTAGCTCATGCATGTCATCCTCCAAAACAGCCTCGGGAAGTAGATCTAGCATTACCATTATCTTACAAATGAGGAAACCAGGCAGAGCAAGTTTAAGAAACGTGCACAGGTATGAATTCCGGAAGTCTGTGTTAGAACCAGGACTCCTAGTCACTCTCTCACATCCAGTTTCCTGACCAGATCCTATTATAACACACAAGGAAAAATTCCATAATAAGATGTGTGATTCTAATAGATGTACTATCTTCCTCTACTTA